TCAGGAACAGAGGCACCTCTGGCAGTATCCTGTGCCTAGGGGGCCCTGCAGGCAATCGCTGCACACATGGGCTGCTCTGCAGGATGTGGAGCAGCCTCTGCCCATGGCGAGCCTGGGTCCGCTGCGGGCAGAGACTGCTTTGCGGTAGCCTCCCCTCCCCTCCCGTCCACACACACTTCTGCCTCTGATAGGAGACAGCGTTGGGGGGAGCCAACTTTTAAGCCAGCTCCCCCCAGCTCCAGCTACTATCTCTCCCCCCACCTTGCTGCCTCTGATACAGAGGCAGCAGGGGGGGGGTTGTATAGTCAAGTAGTCGACTCAACTACCTGATAAGCCAACTACTTGCATACATCTCTAGTACTGATCCTTTGGGGCAGGAACTTAGGCAGAGTTCAAGTGCCAAAGCCAAGAGTCAAAGCTGAAGTCAGCACTCCAGAACCAAAGCCAGCAGTGAAAAATCTACAGTCCTAGGACCAAAGCAAGGGAGCAGAGACAGAAACCAGGACTCAGGATCCAAGTCAGCATTCAAGAGCAAAAGCAGAGCAAGCCAGTGTTGGGAGTCCAAGAATGAGCAAAGAGGCAGGTCTGCCACTATGGCTGGTGGGGGAGGACACCTCATTCCATGGACGCTTCCTGGAGCTCCTTTGGGGTTTAAATAAACTAATCAGATGCCGCAAGAACAGCTGTCAGCACAGCCTTCTAAGGTCTACTACCTACTGGTGTTTGTTTCCACAAGGTCTATGTGATAATGCATGCAAGCCTTCCATGGGTCCATGCTGGATAGTGGCCTGGAGATCTGACACCCCACAGACCTGTGTTCTAGTTCCATCACTGCAGTACATCACATTATGAAACTAGTTGGCAGGAGTGTGAAATAGAAAATGAATGATAGAGCTGTATTCAGATGGATTATACTAGAGATCCACTGACCCTGAAGTGTTCAGAGGTTTGGGAGGCAGAAGCAGCTTTCTTTTCCCTTGACAACAGGAACTTGAGGTATAATTTCAGAGTCACAAATATACAGACATACTAGCTTTATTTTGTAGACCAGCAGTTCCCAACCGCCAGGCCGCAGACCTTTGGCTGCCGAGCTGCAGCAGCTCTGGGGGCTGGTGTACACCACTCATGCTGCAACTGTTGGGAGAGAGATGTCCTGCCCCACCTCTCAGCCAATCAGTGCTGGGCAGGGGCAGGGTCTCCTCTCAGCCATGGAAGAGCAGTTTGCTGCACGGTAGGAGGACTGCATGGAGCCCGGCACAGCAGCCTTAGAGCAACCACAACTGAGGCAGCAGTGCTCAGCTGGCGGCTGGGAGGCAGTGCAGGGCTAGGTGAAGGGGGCAGAGCAGGAACTGGGGGCTCCAGGGGTGGGGCTAGTGAGGGGTGCTGGCAGTCTGGGCTTTTGGCAGACTGATAGCATTTTATTTTCATGTTTGTGAATTCATTATTTCCATAATGAATATGCAGATAGAATGTTGCTGGTCCGCCAAAAGTTTGTGAAAGGGTTTGCCAGTCCCCAGTATAAAAAAAGGTCTAGAACAGTAATTCCCAACCGTGTGTTTTATGTCATGTTGTCTGTTCTAACAAGTAATTTTCTTTAT